AAATTTTAAAAAGAATAAATCAATAAAGAAAGCTGCTTTTTGTGATTTCCTACATCTGTGAATTGCATGGCCTTCATTTCCATTATTCAAGGTTGAAATTGATCCCTTATCACTTTAGAAAGACATCAAGTCCTGTAGAATCCATCTTCAGATTTCTGCTTATATCTGCACCCTGTTGTTACCACCTCATGCCTGGCTTGCCTGAGCTCTTATTTCATGATTGCATTAGTATTCTATCTTCCTTCTTATAGCCATACAGTTTATAAATCAATCAGCCTCATAGTGATGTAATAATTAATTGATCCAAGGCACAGCCCTAATCATCACCCTACTTTCCGAAGACAAAAAATTTTAATTACTCCCCAAGTCCTATGGAATTAGGACAAACCACTTAGCCCAAGATTCAAAGACTTCTTATTATTTGAACCCAACTTACCTTTGTAGTCACTATTTTCCCTTTGTATCCCCTGTGCTGCATCCAAACTCAAGCCCAAAGAGGAACAGAAGACCTCAGAGCTTTAAATATATACTTGGCAATCTTTCCACTGTCCAACATCTCTGCTGGGCAAAAGCACATGCATCCTTTAAAGCCCAGCTCAAATACTGACTTGTATATGAAATTTCTATGAAGGCTTATAGACTGTCACCTGGTAGATCTTTTGTGGCTTTTATGGCACTGCACTTCACATGTATTCATTTGGCTATAGCTCGTCATACCACATTTATTAAGCACATACTATTAACAAAGCACTTTAAAAAGTATGTTAGGGATACAGTGGAGAACAAGACAGGTTCACTCCCAAGTGAAAAGCAGAGGGAAGACAGTCCTTCAAAAACAGTTTCATGCAGCTGAATGAAACTAAGGACCAAATAAGATAATGACTGAAAAATACCTTTTGGATTTACCATGATAACAATTATTGACCATCTTAGCAAGATTTGGCTTGAGAGAAGTGCAGGAGTGTGGAGGAGTGAGAATAAGAAAAGAAAATTGCTGAAATTTAAGATTAAGCTTTAGGGAAATTTGTATATGAAGGGAGTGGTAGCTACAGGAAGAAGTAAAAATCAAAAAAAGTTTTAATTTGTTTTTAGATGAGAAACTTGAACATGTTTAAATATTTTGCTTCTAGTAATGCAGAAGTTGAAGGTACTGGAGAAGAGAATCAAAGTTTGTAGAACAGGCAATGGGTAAGCATAGGTAGAAGAAATGACTCTTACAGGAGTTGGAGAATTTCCTCCACTGTCTGCGGCAGAAAGTGACAGGAATCACTCCAGACTCAAAAACAATCTTAGGTGTATGGGTGAAGTTGAAGTCAGCATGCCCTCTCCAAAAAATAATGTCAAAGAATAATTTCCTTATTTATCAGTTCAATCATAAAAATGATTCTTATTCTTATGACTAAAAAGGGAAGAATTTAGAATAAGAAATTTTAGGAAAATAATATTAAATATTTATAAACAGGTATGTATTCATATATTTTGTTGCATGAATATTCTAATAGGAAAATAATGAAAATCTAAGCCTAGATAACCTAGGTAGAGTTTTTAAATAGTTCCTAATGCAACGTTTAGAAATTTGAAAACTTTTTGGTAACTACTTATTTGGCAATTGAAAACTCCTGCAACAAGATCATTAGTAGAAGGCACTCCCTGCCTCCCAAATCTCTTTTCAAATACTTACCATGATTCATCACATGATAGGAATGATACTTTTAGAAATAATCCTTCCTTCCAAGTATCAATAATACCTACTCGAACCTAATAATTTCCTGAAAATAAATACGGATGTTATCCTGTTATTTACATGAACCCATATCCCTTATTTTCTCAATTGTGTTATAAATGGTTACTTATAATGCAAGCAAGTCTTTTTTCACCCATTTTCTCCTTATTACCTAATATGTGTACAATGGCTGGACAAACGTCAAGGAACTACAGCAATAACAACACTATACACTTCTCCCACAGGTCATGTAAGAGGCAAACAGACATCCAAATGACAAGCTACTCAGCTAGTAAGCTTCAGAGCTACTTCCAGAATTCATGCCTACTAATTCATATTAAACTGATTTGTTTTAACTACTCTATGTTTCCTGCTCATAAATAGGCTCATGAATTGGGACAATTATAATAAAAGAGTTAAATAATTTTCAAACATCTTCCCTTGCAAATAGGAGATACAATTCAGGACTTGCTTCCAGACTTATAGAAGGCTGTGTGGTTTATGTTGAAATTATAAATGGCAAACAAATGAGAAATTCAGCTGTTCCAAGCAACTAATTGGATGCACACAATTTTAAATATTATATATCATTATCATTAAGGTCCCTGTCATAAACACTATTATACAAAGCCAAAAAACATAATTCAAATTCAAAAAGTTCTGCAAATTGAAGACATGGAAAAGAAAGGACAGCTTTATTATCGAATGTTAGCTTCTTGAACACAATCAGTCAATATCCTGATTAGACAATGTTGGCATAATCATTTTTCTATTTCTACTCATAATTTAGATTCTGTCTATAAACAGAAATGTTTAAAATGCTGTATACAACCTGTAAGTCAGAGTAATCCTTAAAATATATGAACCATAACATGTTCCTCATCTGCTGAAATTCCTTTAATGATCTCCATCTCCCTCAGAAGAGTAGTCAAGGTCCTACCATGGTCTACCAGGTTGTAAATGATGAATGCCACATCATCCTCTGTAGAGCCATCTCTTACTTGTCTGTTTCTTACTGTCTTCCTGCTACATTCCTTCAACACACCAAGCAGACTCGTCCTACTGGCTCTTCCTGTTCAATGTACCTCTCTTCCCTCACATTTGGAAATGATTCTCTTACTCCATTCAGGCCTCTGTTCCATTCTCTCCTTATCAAAGAGCCTTCCCCTAAAATGTGTATCTGAGGTGGTCTTGCAGTGTTCTCTAGTATCCCTGCTTTATTTTTCTTCTTAGTAAGTATGCCCACCGACATACATATCAAAATCTTCACTTTGCGTTTCTTCCATAAGAATGAAAGCTCCGGGAGAGTAGGAATTTTCCTTGTATGAATAAATAAATGAATTAATGAAGGGATCTTCATCTTTTTATTTCACTTAGCTAAACAGAAAACTTCTCCATGGAAATGACACTACCTAAAATAATTTTTAAGTACTTGATTTCTTTGAATTATTAGGTATAATCCAAAGTGAAGTGTTAGTACCAATAGCATTCTTTATCAAATGATAAATTGGCAAAATGGCAAATATGATGGTATTTTTAGGTCTGTGCACAATGTAGTATGCAGAATAATTTTTGTTCTGTAACCCATGAGGTAGCATAATGCAGTAGGCCTGCATCATGCCAAAAAACATAGATTTAGTTCTGTAACTAATGTGTTTCATGTGACAGAGGAGAGTAATTTGGGCTTGTGAAAAATAAGTTGATTGGACCAAATTTTTTTCTCTCTCTTAAGACTGTAGGGATCTATGAGATGTTTATCTCTTCCTTCTCAATTTTGCTTCCAAACATGCAACAGTCGAACTGAACAAGTGTATTCAATTTAAGGTCAATATTTATATAATACTTGGATGCCATGTTTAGCTTCAACTTACTTGGTTTTAATGTTTATTTCAGTAATATTTGCAAACTAAAAATTTGGGGATGTTCATTATCAGAACACTCTTTATCAAGTATCATTAAGAAGTGGTACTCAACTCTGCAAGAATCAGTGCAGACACACTTACAAGCGCAATTACTTTGGCATATCATTTTAAATACAGCCTTTTGCAGGACTTTTACCTAATTTAGCTAAAAGCAGAGACTTACACATACATATTGCATCAAAATATAGATGAAACTTATCTTTCGTTTAAGCTGGTAAAAGTGTTCTCTCAAGGTATATGCCAACAAAAATGTGTCTAATCCTTAATGTTCATGCTAAAAAATAAAGTCCCTGAAGCATCCAGGTAGAAGAATTTTAAGCTTAGCTCCTTTTTGAGAAAGTCATTTTAGTTGAAAGGATCTGATTACACTGAAGGACAAAGACATTTATCTCCCTATATAATAAAAACCAAAATCCTCACTGGTAGTTGCTCTACGGAAGACCTGAATACCAAGGACCTAACACACACACACTCCAGGGGAGCCGTGGAAGTGGTAACATGGGAGGGGTAACGAAGAGGGAGGGGATTTCCAAGTCTTCATTCACTACTAAGCAGTAACAGTGACAGTTGTGAACACTGCTGATGTTTCAACAATGGTTGAAACCAATGGAAGCCAAGAGACTTCCCTGAACCAAGGGGTGAACACATAGGCATCAGCCATATTCATGGCAGTGGGAACTTCTAAGGCCATTGCAGCTCCAGCTTACTGAGGAATGTGGCTAAAACCAGTCATGCACAATGACTGCTGAATGCTCCCAGTAGACTCTTTGACTATATTGACTATTGAGATCTTTTGATTTACATAGAAATTGTCTGATTTAATTAACTTTCATTTCATACATGGTAGTCAACATTCTGTAGTTACTATTAGCATTGGCAAACAGACTGACTCTGAAGAGTGTCAAAAGATTTTAGAGGTGGACCCCAGCACAGACTATATGGCAGAGAAGAGAAGAAACTCGATTTTCATTACTTGAGTGCATCCCCACTAGAATTACATGTTTCTTAACATTCTATATGTTTTAAGAATTTGATTCTGGGAAACTTCATTAGAAGTTTCATTTCAAAACAGTTGGTACAATAGGAAGAAAAAATATAAATTAGAACATCCATGTAACTTAGGTTCGATTTTTTTTCTATTCTTGAAAGTTTCTTTAATTTTTTTTCATTTTCAACCTATAAAAGGAAGGTACCCAAATGCTTGGCTTCTTATTTTAAGGGTGTTATTCATGATTTGGAAACCAAGAACAACTCAAGTAAGCACATGCAAGAAATAAGCAAGTGGCAAGAGATTTGAGAATTGTAAAACCGATGGCAAATGAACCAGCAGCAAATGATAATGAAAATGTCCTGACCTGTTGGGTCTCCCAGTCCAATCTCTTCCACTCCCAGTGTCCTTGATATTATCTATTTCTTGAAATGCTGAAAAAAAGAAAAAAGAAGAAGAAATTAAAACAAAGAAAATATTAAGTGAGAAATCAAAGTAATTCCAAAATACTCAGATTAAAAATCATAACGATAGTTAAATAAGATTTTACTGCGAAATGTTGGAAAAAATATTAAGTATTTTAATTGTAATTTTTTTTCTGGACAAGATTCATAGCCATAAAACAACATTAGACTCATAAAACTGCCAGTTAGTGGCTGATGAATGGAAAATAAATGAACAACTAAAATTTTTTATTAATGACATTACAAGATATAGCAACAACTGAAATGTAAAAATATGAACTAATTATTTTGGAGCCATATCAATGAAACTATTTAAAAGTCATCATATGATTAATTCAGTCACACGAGCATGCATGTGTGATGCATGGACTCATTAACACAAGGGTGTGTATGTAGCCTAAAGTGATGCTAAGCCTATTTTTACTGAGACAGTTACAACCATTTTCATGGTCCCTGATAGGCACTTAATATATATATATATATATAAAATGCAACGTTACTTAGAGCTACAATACTTAATGCAAAACATTCTAATGGGCACTGGAATTTGGAGTACATATGTGTACAAATTTATTGAATAAAATTTATGGAATACATAAGACTTAGCAAGCACAGTGCTATATCATACTAGGACACTAAGTTATATAAGAATAAATATTTTACAAACCCATTGAATAATTTCTAGACAAAAATACCAACAACAGAAAGAACAAAATAAAAACAGAAACACTCTATAAGTGGTCACTTTATCAGAGCCAGACTGCAGGGTCATAAAGCAGAACTTTAAGTATTGATTTCCATGACAGAAAAGCCCCATGTCTTTGGAAATTTATATAACCTCTTTCAGGCTTAATTTCCCAATCTATAAAATGGCTTCACAAACTTGTCATGAACCAAGAATCCAAGAATTTTTCAATGCATACAGCTATTTTATTATGCTTATTTATTTGTGAATGTCCAGTAATTTTTATATAGAGAAGTTCACAGCTATTCTCTACTTTTTAAGGTTTGGCCACCAAAATGGCTAAATTATGTGACTTCTAGATGTTTAGACATTTATTAATTTCATATGGTATCTTGCAACAATCTTATTAAAATTGTATAAATATAAAGCTTATCAAATTTTCTACTAGGATGGTCCTATATTATCAAAAATTATGCAGGCCAGTATGTTAATGATAATACTTCAAATTGTACTTTCAGGAAAATAGAATTTCACTTCTAAAATACTGGTCTGTTATACCAGAGCTGCAGACTTAGAGGTAAGCTAAGACTAGGTGACTTGTACAACTTTTATTTATTAATTTATATTCTCTTTCATTTTAAAAAGCCTAAATAATTTTGGAATATCTAGATTCTTTTAGAGTACACAAAATGGCATAAAGAATTACACTCTATAACCAAATAGAATTTATCCCAGAAATGCAAAGTTGATTTATCATATAAATATCAAACAACATAAAATGCCATGTTAATAAAAGGGAAAATCATACAACACCTCTATAGATGCTGAAAAGCATCTGACAAAATCCAACACCCCATTTTAACACCATAAAAATATTAAACAAACTAAAAATAGAAGGAAACTTCCTCAACCTAGTAAAGACCATCTATGAAAAATCTACAACTGTAATACTTAATGGTGAAATATTAGCTGTTTTCTCTTTAAAATAAGGAACAAGAATATTTGCTTATACCACTTTTATTCAACATTTTATTAAATATTACAGACAGGTTCAGTAAGAAAAGAAAGAAAAGGTGTCTAGACTGAAAGGAAGAAGTATGATTATCTTTATTTGTAAATAACATCATTTCTACATAGAAAATCTTAAGGAAGTAACTAAAAAACTGTAAGAGCTAAAGAACAAATTCAGTAAGACTGCAGGATAGTTGATCAACATATAAAAATCAATGATATTTCTGCACACTAGCAATGTACATTCTGAAAATGATATCAAGGAAACAATTCCATTTGTAATAATGTCAAAAGAATAAAATCATTAGGTATGAATTTAACATTAGAAGTTGGACGGCTTCTGAATCACAAACTAAAACCATCATTGAAAAAAATTAAAGAATATCTAAAAAATGAAAAGACAACCTACATTCATGGATGAGAAAACTTAATATTCTTGAACATAACTCTTATCAAAATCCCAGTTGGCTTTTTTACATAAACTGTCAAGCTGATCCTAAAATTCATATGGAAATATAAAAATCCAAAATAGCTAAATCGATCCTGAAAAACAAAAAAGTAAAAGGGGGGGATGCATCCTTCCCAACTTCAAAATTATGACGACGCTACAGTAATCAAGACAGTGTGATACCAGTATAAGGATACATATATAAATCTAATGGCACAGAATAAGCCCATACATTTGTAGCTAGTTGATTTTTGACAAGGTTGCCCAAAGAATAGGTGTGTTGTAAGTGGTAATATATTTTTCAAAATCTGGTCTTTGTCTGGTTCCTGGCACAGAGTTAAAAACATTCTTGGGGCCAGACGTGGTAGCCCACTTCCATAATCCCAGCACTTTGGGTGGCTAAGGAGGGTGGATCATGAGGTCAGGAGATTGAGACCATCCTGACCAACATGGTGAAACCCTATCTCTACTAAAAATACAAAAAAATTAGCTGGGTGTGGGGATGCACTCCTGTAGTCCCAGCTACTCAGGGGGGTGAGGCAGGAAAATTGCTTGCACCCAGGAGGTGGAGACTGCAGTGAGCCGAGATCGCACCACTGCACTACAGTCTGGGTGACAGTGTGAGACTCTGTCTCAAAAAAAAAAATTCTTGAAATTACCTGAGTGATAAATGTGACTTTGTTATGCTAATGAGGGGTCACAGGGTTGTTGCCACAGATAGCCTACATGATGGGGGAGGCTATCAGAAGAATAAAAAATTCCCATGTAATTAGAGTGATGACATTTCCAGTCCCCTATCTCTGGTAAAAGAAGATCTGAAGATTTAGTTCAGTCGCATGGCCAATGACATGCCTATGTAATAAATAACTCGAATTAAAATAATGAATATGAGGCTAGGTACAGTGGCTCATGCCTATAATCCCAGGACTTTGGGAGGCAAAGGTAGGGGGCAGATGCCTTGAGGTCAGGAATTCAAGACCAGCCTGGCCAACATGGCGAAACCCCATTGCTATCAAAAATACAAAATTGAGTTGGGCATGGTGGCACATACCTATAATTCCAGCTACTCAGGAGGCTGAGGCAGGATAATCTCTTTAACCCGGGTAGTGGAGGCTGCAGTGAGCTGAGATCATGTTACTGCACTCTGCCTGGGCAACAGAGCAAGACTCCATCTTAGAAACAAAAAATAAACTATGAACATAAGACTTAAACTGCTTCCAGGATAGTGAACATATTGAAGTACCAGGAAGGTGGTTCAACCAACTCCATGAAGACACAAACTTGTGCTCTAGACTATTCCAGACATATTCTGTATATCTCTTTACCCAGCTGTTCATTTAAATCCTTAATAATAAAATGGCAATCATAAGTATAGAACTTCAGTGTGACAGGTATGTTGTTCTAGTAAACTATCAAACCTTAAAGGGGTTCTATGGAACTCCCAATTTTGTAGCCAATTCTGCCAAGCAGAAATAAAGGTAGCTTAGGGACCCCACTTGCAGCTGGCCTTTTAAGTAAGGACAGTCTTGTTGGGGACCTTGTCATTGAATTTGTGGTATGTGATGTTAACTATGAATAGTGTCAGACTGAATTGCACTACAGGACAACCAGCTGATGTCAGAGAACTATTGTTAGAATGTAATATAGTTTTCAACAAATTATTCTGGGATAACAAAATATCTGCATGCAAAAGAGTTCAACTGGACCCTTATCTCATATATAAATAAGAATTCAAAGTGGATCACATAGACCTACATGTAGAAACTAAAATAAAAAAGTCTTAGAAGAAAATGTAAATATTCATTACCTTGGGTTTGGCAGGGTTGTCAAATGCAAAACCAATAGATATGTCAGGCAACAAAAAAATAAATAGGTAAATTGGACATTAAAATTAAAAACATTTGAGCTTCAAAGGATACTATCAAGAAGGTGAAAAGACAATCTACAGAATGGGAGAAAATATTTGCAAATTATATATTTGACAAGGGACTGACTTATATTCAGAATGTATAAAGAACTACTCTATAATAAAAAGTCAAACAACTAATTAAAGAATGAGCAAAAAAAGTGATAGAAATTTCACTAGAAAAGATGTACAAAGAAGATGCTCCATATCATTAGCTATTAGAGAAATGTAAACCAAAACCACAATGACATGCCACTATATGTCCACTAGGATGGCTATAAAAACAAGAGATAATTACAAGTACTGATGAGGCTAGAGAGAAATGGGGACCACCATAGATTGCTGGTGGAAATATGAAATGCTACAACTGCTTTGGAAAGTGGTTTGCAGCTCACAGAAGTTTACAAATAGTTACCAAAATAACCCAGCCATTCTACTCCTAAGTATATACCCTAGATAAATTAAAAACTTATGTCCACACCAAAATTTGTATACATATGTTCATGGCAGAATTACTTATAATGGTCAAAAAGTACCAATAGTCTAAATGTTTTTTAACTAGCTAACAAATGAAAAAAAACCAAAATTTGATATATCCATTCCAATGGAATATTATTCAGTCTTAAAAAGAAATGCATTGGAAACCAGAGGAAGATCTAAGATTGCCTTTTTAGGAGCAGCTCAGAATTGCAGCTCCCAGTGAAAGCGCAGACGGTGAGTGGACGCCACATTTCCAGACTGATCTTTATTGCCCACAGACCAGGAGATTCCTAGGTGGAGGAGCCCTATGGGTCACCACCACGGCTGTTTTGGCCAGCACAGCTGTTTTAGCCAGTGCAGCAGCTCTCTGTACAAAATACACTGGTCTGGTTGCCCTTTTAAGCTGGCCAGGAAATTCCCAAGCAGCGCCATTGTTTCAG